TTTCATGCCCTAGGTGTGGAATGTAGGTGGATGGCAAGGCTGGCAGGTAGGAGATGGAGGGGAGAAGAGCCTCCAGCAAAGCAGCAGCCTCAGGGCTCCCAAGAGGGAGAGCTGAGCAGAGCTAGAAGGAAGGAGCTTGTCCTTGCTGGAGGCTCTGCCTGCTGCAGGTGGTTTACTGCAGACACTTTGGGAACACCCAAACAGAACGGTCCATTTTCCCAAAGCAAACTTCTGTGCCTCCACAGAGCCTTGGGAAGGCTGTCCCCTGCCTGAGGAAGCTGCTGGGAGCAGGAATGCACTAAGGACTGCGACATTCTCAGGTACAATGGCAATGGGAGTCACCTGTGAGCTATAAATAGCACTGACATCCTTTCTCTCCTGAGCCTGCAATCCAAGCAGTCATTTTTGCGGGTGCTAGTGAAAATGAGCAAAGCTTTGAACAGCTTTTATTAACACTCTCTTTGCAGGCTGGAAATTTTCTTAGTAAGTAGTGACTAGTTTTTTTTACTGACCCTGAATTTTGCATTTATTTTAAAGGAAAATTCTGGCATTTTTTTCTTTTTGAATTTTTAAAAAATATCACATATAATTTTCATATTTTTACCTCCTCTGTCTGGGAAGAGCGTTTGTGGCAGGACAGTTGAGATCACAAGTATTCATTTTCAAAAATCCTCTGTGCAATTGCAGGAAAAGAGGGAAAAATCCAGGAACCTAGATTCAGTCTTATATAAATCTTACATGAATTTTTAACAAAAAATGAAAATGTTTTGGTTTAGAATTAAGGAAATGATGCAGGATGTTTGGGCAGGTTTTGTGGTGTTTATATTGAGAGATCAGACAGCAATACTGGTTGCAGTAAAAGGAAAAGCTTTACATGCCTATCAGACAAGATTTTCCTATGATTTGATAGGAAACAAAGATGGCTTTGTTAAGGAGCTATGAAGACCTGAGAGCAACACTGGCAAAAGGAGACTTTTCAAAATATTTAGGGTTCACTTGATGAAGCCTTGTCATAACATAATTAAGTCTCACCTGTTATGCAACTCTCCTTTGCTCTTTATAGGCAGCAGAAAACACAAAGGTCTACAAAACAGACACTTTGCTCTGGGATAACCAAAGAAACCCTGCTACAAGATCAACTAGTGGAGCTGGAAAAATTAGTCAAGCTTTCAAATATGCAAGAGGAGCTGCATTTTTTTGCAGTGATGCCAACTAATCTAATTCTAGATTAGACTGTTATACTGACAACCCTTTTCTTAGGCCAGTGGGCAGCGCTGCGGCCTGTGAAACTCTGTGATTTTTCCTGTTGCCACAAGATGGCAGGAAAAAACAATGTTGGGGGATTTAAAAATACAGAGAAATGGGCCTCGCAGAACGGAATACACTCCTGACTGGCATTTAAAGGGAGAACTTGCAAGAAACTGCACGTTGGATGGAAGAAAAATATGAAATGTACGGAATTAATTAGGTTGGTATTGACCTGGGTGTATGCATCAAAAGATCTACACCATATCCTTTCCTATGTAGGTTCTGTGTATAAAAAAGCCTGTGGCAGTGCTCAGTTTTTCCTGTACACTGTTCAGTTTGGCCTGGTTTTATTCTGCTGGCAAAATCTGTTGTACAAACCAGTCCAAGACATAATGCACTCACCTAAAGTAAAAAGCAGGGTGATTACTTTAGTCTTTTGTACTGTCTTCTTCCAAATACGGTTCTCTTCCCATCTCCTGCTCCTCCAGCCATAGTAGGAAAAGAGCCCAGCTAGAGGACACTGCTCTGGCTTTTGGGAACAGTGGGAGACACGAGGGACAGCAGCTGGGCAGGAGGGCACGCCTGGGTGCTAACAGGCTGTGGCACTGGGTTGCTGGGCTGGGCACTGGGGTCAAATCCATGTCCCTCCTGCCTGTTCTCCTGGGAAAACCGACCCTTCAATGCAATGGGTGAGGAACTTTTCTTATCCTGACTTACTCAATGTCTGTATGGGTGTCACAGGAGCTGCTGGGGCTTTGGAAGAGGGCTGGAAGGGAGGAGTCTGTGCTGTTCATGCTCTCTCCCCAGCTGCTTTCGCTTCAAATACTTTTCTTAGGGGAAATAAACCCTCTACAAGAACAGAAATTGGTTTGGAAAGTACAACCAGACTGGCTGGGGGTTTGGAGTTACCCAGAGGCACTTCTCCTCAGCAGCCAGTGTGGTGGTTCCCCTCCATTCTTCTGACAGATAAAAGAAAGCTGTGGAAAACTCACAAAGATTATTGTTCACCTGGAGCTCGTGAACTGGTAGAAGTTAATTGTGCAAGGCAGCACTGTGTAGGCCTGGTGGGCCCCGGCCCCGGCCCTGGTCCTGGTCCTGCCATGCTGCTGCTCCCCGCATGGCCTGGCCTGGCCTGGCCTCACCGGCCTGGCCCTCCCTCACCGAGACATGGAGGACGTTCAGCAGTGCCCTTGCAGTTTGTCTGGTGAGGGGACAAAGCTCATGGGGTCATGGCAGCTGTGCTGCCCTGTGGCACTAGCCTCCCCAGAGGCTCCTCCAGCACCAGTGTGCTCCTCGCCCACCCAGCCTTCCTCCTCACCCACCCAGCCTTCCTCCTTGCCCACCCAGCCTTCCTCCTTATCCATCCAGCCTGCTCCTCAGCTATCCATTCACCTTTTTTTTTCACCCAGCCTTCATTCCTCCTTTTCTTTTTTTCCCCCACAACCTTCATCTCTCCTTGGAATGATGGAGGCAAGGGGCTTGTTGGGGGCATAAGGTAAATTAGGGACTTTTGTGCTAGGACCAGTTCTTCTCTTCAGTCTGTAATAATTAAAAGTATCCAGAGGTTTAAGAAATAACCAATCTGTTGAAAGCCAAAAGCTGGAGGATACACAGATGTCCTGTTTCTTATGCTGGCTTTCTCTAGACTCTGCTCTGGCCTGATGGAGAGCCAGTCCTTCAGGCCCAACCTGAATTGGCTCTTCCCACTTGTCTTATGAATGCTGTGTCTACACTACTCATTACCAAATACTGAATTCTAGAAAATGGGCACCAAACATCCAGAATCTGCCTCCCAGGCTGGCAATACATTTGTCATTATGAACCAAGGTTCATTTCACAGTGACAACATGGAGGAGAATGACAAGGCAGCAAGAGTGAAGAAGCAAAAGCAAAATGCTTACAGCAACTTTCGACTGCTGAGATGATGATGGAAAAAAGAACTGATAATACAGGTCTCCATCACCTGAGCAGGAACACCCTTGTCCCATGACATGATGCTAAAACAGATCCTAATCCCCTTCACACCTTTCCAGATTCTGATCCTACTTGGATTTTTAAGATATTCTTTCTTGTGTTGCTTCTTTTCATAAAATTACTTTGGTCCCAGCTTGGTTCTGCAGTTAGCAGCTTCATTTTGTGAGGAAAACAAATGATGGAAGGTCTGCAGCTGCTGGCAACACCAAAAGAACACTGCCAGAATCCAGGAGCCTTCTTTTGCCCTTTGGCTGCCCACCTCTGAGTTATGGGGTCTCACCTGCTATTTAAAGGTAAATTAAGCCTTCCTTGAAATTAATAGTTTAAACTGAGCACAAAATTACTTTAAATTTAGCTCGTGCAGGACATCCTACAACCTGGGTCCTTTTGCCAGGCTTTCAGCAACTGATCATCTAGGTCAAAATATCTCCAGGTCATGCTTAATCCTGCTCTGGATAGGAGGTGAGCAAGACTTTAGAGATGGAGGTGTTAGGAGAGATGTGTGTATGGAGAAAACAACACTCTCTAGACACCTGCTCCCCTTCAGTGTTGAAAGGAAAATTCTCCCCTTTCAGCACTAAAGCATTGACTGCAAGTGTCAATTTGCTATCTTTTATAGAGAAAACAATACTGAGAAACCATTCACCACAGGTAGTTTATCCACAAAGTAAGGGCTGTCCAGGAATTTGAAATCACTGGGTAGAAGGGATTTTCTATTTCTATTCTAATGGGTTAAGGGATTTTCAATTCTATTCTACCAGGTAAAAACTCTGTCTGAGTTTTTAATTTTTGTTCTGTTGAGCAAGGTGTATATGCCTGAGAGGGAACAAACACATGTACATGTCAGCTCCAAAGGGAGGAACCCCCTGCACAGGTGACATCATCTCACTCATGGTTCTGGATCAGGTCTTGAGAGGCTACACTGACCTCTGCTCTTCTCCTGCAACTTTTCACTATTGCCACAAGCAAGGGCTGAGATTGGATGGGTTAGTCTTAACCCAAAAATCTAATCTGTTCCGAAATGCAGGGGCCCATAGCTATGTGAGCTTAATTGGGCCTTTCTCTCTATTTCTGAGACTGTCAGGCACAGGAAGGTGGCTGCTGACTGTTGGAACAGAAAAATGTGTCACAGAGCTGAGGTGCTTTTCTTATCCTGACTTACTTAATGACTGTCCCACCTCCTTCTTCCATAAAGATGTCTGTCATTCCTGTCCCATTTTCTGCCTTTCTAGGGTCAGAAGCAAGAGTCATTACCAAGTAACTTCATCCCATCCCTCTATTAGATTAACCACTCCCTTGATGGATCACAGACTGGGTGATGACAGGCAAAATCTCTGTCATTAAAAACTCAAACTCCCTCTGCTCTCAGAGGTGCTGGTATAGTGATGGAGCTCCCCTTGCACACAGGCAGCCTTGCCTTCTGCCTGGTTACATCCCCTGTAGGCAGGATGGTGCATCTTGGCTTTACAGCTGCTCTGTGTGGCTGCACATGCTTTCACAGCAGGATCTATCAGCACCAACCACGCCCCTTGCAGCGATCTGAAAGAGTGCTGCCTTTTTCACAGGAATGAGCCTGCTGTCCCCAGAGAACAGAGACAAAATCCTGGCCAAAGAGGGAACCATGAGAACAGAGCTAAGGCTATGACTTTGTAAATGTTTATCTTCAGACTGTATTTGATGTCTGGATAATAAGGTGACCAGTCTCTTACAGATATGTAAGGCAGGTTAAACAACAGAGGGCACACAGTGGTTCTCTTGAGCTGCAGCACAGAGCATGTGCAGGGCCTTACCATTCCCACTTGCCACCTCTGTGGCCAATGGATGCTTTCATGCAGTGTCTCTTCCTAAGCCCTTCAGAGATGAGCTGTAAGTATGGTTGATACAGCTGTGGGGTTTTTTTCCTAAAAAAATGGCTTTCTTTTTGTACTGTTTGCATTTTTTCATGCTGCTTTGGTTCACTCACCGTTTTCTTCAGTTTGGTAAAGAAACTGTCTGTGAAAATAAGAATGGAAAAAAATTAAATTATTAAAGACAGGTTTTTAATATACACAGGGAAGAGATGTTTTAAAGTGAGTCTATCAGGTCATGCACCTAAGTATTATTTCTGCCCTTGAAAATCTTTCACTTACAGTGCTTAATTGGTCTGTGCAAATCCATTGCTTAAAGGTAATTGGACATTTTTATAGAAAGATCAGAAACAAAAACACTCTAGGCTGTTGTTCTAACCATTAAAAAAAAAAAAAAAAGAATTATGGAAAGAATATGTTTCAGGGCATCATCCAGCCTCTCTTGAAACTGTGCAAATTCACTTGGTGAAAACAACAGCAGACACAATGAAATGGGTTGTATATGAAGAACTGAGATCTCAAATGTGATATTATGCAGAAAGTAGAGTCAGTACTAAATAAGTAACAGCTCTATGTGTTACCAAGGGTGCACTTTGATTTTGATGAATGTTAAAAGAACCTTTAGCCTTGAAAATAAAGAGGATAATTTCTCTCTAGGCAATGGCTGCTCGTGAAAGCCATAAAATAAGAGCACTGGAGCCCTAATTTTATAGTGCTTTTTAAATGATTTTCAAATGGTCCAGCTGCTTTGTGCCACAATAGCACAAGGCAGAGATATTTACGCCAGCAATAACAAGCATGCATCAGCCTGCCCGGGCTGCTCTCCACAGGCAGCCTGCAGGAGGTGAAACACACGTGGAAAGGTGGTACTTGCCAATGTGGATTGATCACCATCACACCATGGTCAGAGCAATCCTGGGAAGCTGCTTTTTCCACCCAACAACTGGATTGTTTTCCTTGTCTGTGTGTGGCTGTGAAGCGCAGGATCTGTGCGGCCGGCAGCGCTGGCTCTATTTTGACACTTGAGAGCCTGCCAGCAGCGCGTGCCTCTTAGGCCATACTGTCCTTGGCACACGTTCTCCTTTTGGAAACAGGGGGGCAAACTCACTCCTGGGTTACACTGCTGGTTTGGGGTGGGAGTGTCCACAAGGGCTGGTGTGGCCCCAGATCTGGTGTTCTGATGCAGCACTGCATTACCTTCTCCAGAAATGCATGCATGTGGCAAGAGAACTCTGGTGGCAATTCTGCTGAGATGCTGAATTGCCACCAGCAACTTACCCCAGGTATTTTACCTCTGCATATTTAGGACTTCAGTGTAAAACTACAATTTATTTTCCAAGCTGCTCTAAGATGAAAACTACCCAGGGGTGGTCTATCTTAGCACGCCAATTTGGGTAGTCATTTCAACAGTTCAAAAAAGTTTCAATTTTTTCTTCACAGTCCCCTCTCCTTGGCAAGACATTGACATAAGACAGGGTACTGGGAGAAATCTGCCTTCTGAGCCAGCAGAGTAGGCTTTAAAGAGCAGTTCATTTATGAAATATTCCATTAAAATTAAATAACTTTTCTCTTTCCATGTTCACTAGTGATAAAGGCACAGCAATGTTCAAGTAATAAGAATTTTGGTGGGAATAGGAAATGTTCAGCATGTGAGAAATGTCTAATTTATGGCTGAAAATTTTTTGTATTTGCAATAATTCTCAGGTCCATAAAGCTGGGACAGAGCTGGGCAGAGGGCATGGCAGGAAGAAGTTACCTCTGGAAAGTCCTCAGCCATTGAGCATCTATTGTCACCAGTGTAGAAAACTGTCTCCCATCTGGGTGACTTGTAGGGGATGGGTAATATTTTCCCCTTTTCATCTGCTGATCCAAATCAGCAAAACAGGTTAGCATCTTTTTGTGTCCAGGGATATACTTAAGAGCTTTAATTTTAAACAGGGGCCTATTTTCTCTTGGAGTTGAGTTTTGAGAGTTTTAACAAGCAGAATGGACAGCAAATAAGGAATGTATCCCAGAGGAGTACCTAGCACATTTGCTGCCCTCATTTGACAAACAGATTGAGGAATGAAATGAGCATGCAAAATTCAGAAACATTCTATACCCTAAACAGAGAGGAAAAATAGATTTGATGTTAAAGCTTTAGGTAATGTTCCTTTCATCTTTATCTCATATTCAGATTGTCTAGCATTTCTCTTTGTTGCTTTGTGTTCTTTTAATTTCATGAGTTTAGAGTTTATGTAGGTGCATACTGTATCTGAGTTCAGTATGTAAACCCTGCAACTTGATGGAATTGCACATGACTGGGTAACTCTTTGGGCAGCATTGCCTAGAGGAAAGTGGCAGAATAGCATAAGGTAAGCCAGCATAAAGGAAGCAGATCTGCTTTTTCTAAGAATACAGCAAATAAAATTTTTTCCTTTCAGAACACAAAGGAATACACATAGTGCTGTTCCAGGCTGCACAGAACAGTGCTATGGTCACAGATTGCCTAAGTTTGTATTTTTGCCTCACTTGCATCTCATCTCATCTCTGAGAGATCCAATTTACAGCAGCTGAGATAAAGTAGCCTCCAGGGTATTACATACAGCCCTTTCATAAATCAAGAACTGCTTTTTGTTACTAGAGATCTGAGTTCAGAAACAGAGGAAAACACATGGCATGAGGCTTTGTAAATGGCCAACTGGCATGTCTCTGCAATAGCTCTTTGCAGCTTTTGGCTATTTCTCAAATGTGAAAGTAACTATTTTTAGTTATTTTTGTTGCGCATTCTGACAAATCAATACAGAAAAACTGAAAAAAAATTGTGATTTCTGACTGAGAGCTCAAAACTGTCTTCCCTTTTATAATTGCTTTTCTTTTTTCTCTCCTGTGATAGAAGATACATTCTGATGATTACTAGTCTCTATGTGTGATCCTTGCCACTGGTGTGGATATGGTTTTGTTGGTCACTCCTAATCTCTCTAGATCCTGCTGTTTTCCCACATGCCAATGAAGACAATGTCTGTAAGTGGATAATTAGGCTTACTTGAGTGGTTGAGTGACATTTAGTTAATGCTGCTAAAGTAATTTGTGATTGCTTAATGCGAGTGCTGTGTAAGAGCAGCAGTTTACCTTTGGGATAGGGATTCACCATTTGCCCTTGTTAATGCACACAGAATGTACAGAAATGTGCAACAAGGTCAAAGTTGATTGTGTCCACTATGAAAGCTCATGATAACAAGTGGCTCAGGTAATCTTGTTGCCTTGTAATGTATTCCTGTCTGTAGAGCCCAGTGTCCACCACACTCTGAGACATTTTTCCCCTTTGAGAAGTGTAAGAAAAAATAAAGTAGTAGAAGAATGATACAAGGTTGCAATTTCTGTATATACTCATATCTGGAAATGCAGAATTCCGAGTTATTTCACTTCTGAAAATAAGTAAGTTTAACAAGTTTTACTGACTTCAGTTGGCCACAATCTCATTGAGGACTGCTAGTCCAAACAACCTACACAAATTCACCTCAGGAGGTAGCTCTATAACTGGACTTGAAATATGTATGTTGAACACACTAAGGTTTTAGCATAGCTTCTAACTGTACAATGTTCCTTTGCTGAAGTGATATTAGCTTTGCTGATCCTGTTAAACTCCAGTTAATAAACCTACCTGCTTAAGATCAGCATAAAGTTTGACTTCAGCAGGATATTTTACATATTGTGCCCTCAGCTGCTTATATAGCACTTCAGAAAACATTGTACCTTTAAACCCAAAGGGTCTTGGCCTTGGCCTTGTATATCAGCAATGGCTGATAGCCAGACAAATATTTAATAATCAGTTTGTTGACAACTTCAAAGTCCTCCAGGATGAAAGTTATCATGTTAAGTCAGCCATCCTTACTTTATTTTATGATATATTTAACTTGTTTAAAGATGCTGAACATCAGATTTCTGATAAAGGCATATGGAGAAATACTTCTTATAAAATACAGCACTAATTCTAGATTGGTCTTTGATTTCCAAGTAGCTGCTCAGAAACTGCACATAAATGGTTCCACAGAAATGAGAAGTGACAGTGTATGGTACTGCTCTGGGTTATTTTAGCTCTGGCACAAGTCCTGATGCTGGCATGGGTTTGCTCAGTAACAGAAACATCCATTGTTTATTAAGTTCACTGAGTACTGAGTTGGGCCCTAAATGCACATACTCTCTCCATTCCTATCTCATGAAGAGCCCATGAAACCTCATTCTCAGGTGTTGTCCCTATTTGTTTTATTGATGTTGGCACAATGAACAAAATTGCATCTGTAGTGCTTGATCAACTTCCAGTTTCACTGTTTGGAGTCTGTAACTCGTATTTAAGCTGATATTAGTGATCAGCTGTTCCATTAACAAAGAAACCTGTTTACATTTTTATTTCTGTTAGCTGAATGTTCTCAAAGTTCATCTTTTCATTATATTCTCTACCATTTCTTTCCCCCTACAAGACAGAATGTGATTGAAAGAAACATTCAAGCATAGTTTGGAACATGTATATTCACAGGCATTTAAAGGAGGTCTTGAGACTGCACATAAAAGGCTGTCTAAAATCAAATGTTGCTGTTAAGAGAACACCATTTCAGTGATGTTTTTCTTAAATCTTTGCCTGTACTGCCAGTCAGGCTCAATTCTACAAATCCCTGTTTCTGCACATGGTTCTAAGAAGTAATAGAGTTAATTTCCAAGTGTAGTTACAAGGTTTGACCAGAAAGGCAAGGGTCGGTTTGGCACTCTCCTGGCCAAAGCAGGAGTTCAGCAAAGCGCTGCCCATGGTTGTGGCTTCTGCCAGGGCCCCGTGCTGCTGGCTGTCCCCAGCCGCAGGGCACAGGGCCACCTGCCGGCTGCCACGCTCCAGCCAGGCACATCGGGAAGCTTGCAGCCATTTGTAAAACCAAGTTTTGTAAATGCAGATTATTCCCCCCATGTCACCTAGCTCATTTTTTGGCTTTGCTCTTTCGCAGCTAAAAGAATGACCACTTTAGCTGTAATCAGTGGGCAATCAGCAGGGTTTTTAGTATCCACTGTTTCTCTCCTGCAGGAATTATTGTAATTTCTAGATATTTCAACAAGTTTGCAACCTGATGATGGTGAAAAAACCCTTGTTTTGGCATAACACTGGGCACTAGGCCTGTTGAGTGCAGATGACTGCATGCTTTCTCTGTCCTCAGAGTGAAACACCCATCTGCACAGTTTTCAGAAATAGTGAAGTCTGCTGGCATTCAGAATATCCACAGATTTGTCAAAATTTCAACTGCAAATCAAATTGTCATATAAACAGCCAAAATCAGAATACTTTTTAATGTGAAAATTTCCATTCTAGTTAAAATTACACCAAAAAAGGTAAAAACCAATTGTTCAATTTTAAGGCTGCTTAGGACCATAAGCCTGTCTTGTGCTTTGTATGGTAAATGCTGTAGCATTTATAAAATCCACATGTTGCACAATTATGAATTAATACAAAGCAATAAAAAGAGTCGAATTCTCTTTTTAATTGTTTTTCTGTGCAGTAGGTTCTTTCTTTAATGGATAGTCTTTTTGCTTTCTTCTGTGCTAACCTTGTCTGTTTTAAGGCAATGAAGTTTACCAATGCTAATTATATAAAGTTGGACAGCACATGTTAATGAGCACTGTATTCCCCAGCCCTTCAGAACAGCTCAGCCTCAAATAACACTTACATATTGCCTATGTAGAGATTAGGCCACTCTTCACCCACGTGATTTAATTCCACCTTGCAGCTGTCCAAAATATCTGGCAGTTCCTGGGCAGAGGGAGTGCCAGGCTCAGACACTCCTGGGCTGATGGGGTCTGTCTTCAGGTGCTGACCCCTTTGGAGGCCTCATGCAGGGTCAGGCAGAGCAGGGAGGGCCTGCTGGCAGCCGCTGCTGTGGAATGCACAGGGAGGGTTTTGCTGAAGCAGGCTCTTTCTGCAGCTTGATGTTCCCAAGCAGGTGGCTGACTCTAAATACAGCTTGCGCCTTGACGCCTCCCTGCATTAGCTCAGCACTACGTCCCTGATGCAATGGGGAACAGCCAGAAAAATGAACCTTCTGCTTTAAGTGAATCTTATGCAAAAAAATGCTACTCCCTTCCTCACATAAGCTATGGTGCTGTTCCTGCCAGCACAGAGCTTTCCCTGTGAAAGAAATGTCAGTGCAACTGAGACGCAGTCCCAAGTGCCTCATGTGACCCAGTTCTAATAATAAGCTACCAGGAAAGAGGGGACAGCACAGCTTGAGGGCGAGTTCAAAATAAACACCATGAGAACACTGGTCCTGGGCCTTACCCAAGGTTCACCAAGCCCACTGTCTTGTGCTTGACTGTGGCTGAAAGTGAATGCCTACAAAATGTAAGAACACACAAGCATGAATTATATTTGTGTATATAATAATAACAATAATAACACTCTCCCAGCTTCCAGCTGCAGTTTATAAGCTTGCTGACCTGGATGGAGTTTCTAAGTATTTGGTAACCCTGAATGGATTTCTGTCCCTCAAACATTTCCACTTCAATGTCTATAGGCTTTTACTCTCTGCAGCGCCCTGTGGCAAGTGTTACACAGCTCATGTAAACCCCTCCCTTTCTTTCAGACCTGATTTCTACTGACTTCATCTGATGCCCTCGGTTCTTGTACTGGAAAATAAAAGGAAGAGACGTTTTCACTGGAACTCTACATGGGTCCTTTCAGGTGACACTGGTTTTGTGATTGCTGTAAGCAGATTTAAGTCTGCCAGAGCTGTAGTGGGGACAGTTCCTCTCACTTGCACCTTCTCCCAGGTTGTGTAGACCCTCTTGACAAATGTGTATTTTCTGAATGAAGTGCCACTGGGGAGGCAGTATTTTTCCTTCATTTTGGTTGCTTAATATAACTTGCCAAACTAACATTCAAAATACAAGTTTTTATGCTGATAGTGGAAAGCAGTGAAGTACTAATGTCATGTCACATCATGATGTGAATTAGGGATAGTGTAATTGACAGGTGAGGAGGTCCCTTTTCCTCTTAGCACATTGCAGCAGACAATGCTTTCTGTTTTAAGAAGTTACAGTTCTGCTTTTGCTTATGTTGACTGGAAGTTTTCCCCCTGCACAAATGTGCACTCAAAGTAAATCTGTATATAAAGACACAATACAGGCAGGCAGGAAATGCAAGCAACACTGACTCCACAGATTAAAAGCACTTCTGTGATTTGACGATGCCCTTGAAAAAAGTTTCTACCTAATTCATTCCTTCCACTGAGGTAAGTAAGTCATGCTTACAAGATCACTACCATGCCATTGGTGGCATGGATGCCCAACTGGCTCAGCTTCACTCTGTGCTCTTCCCTTCCCTGCCCCTGGTGACAAAATACTCTCCCAGGACGAGCAGTATCTTCAAGAGCAGGTACTAATTTACAACAGGAGCAGCTTTCACAGCTGTGGCTTTGTAGGACAGATGCTCAGAGGCATGCAAAACATTATCCTGATGGGAGTATTCCATTAATCTTGCTCACATATGTTTAATTTTGCCCAGCCTAAAGCCATTAAGATGCATTATTTCACTCACATGAATTTCAGATTTTTCAATGCTGTGTCTTCAAAAGGTTTCCAGACTAAAACCTACTGTAATGTGAATGAAGTATAAATTATAATGAAATATTAACTCATATAAATGCCTATTAATTTTTATGGTGAACTTCAAAGCAAACAAAGCTCCTCCTCCACTGCTCTGCTGCTTTGTGAGGTATAAAGATTGTCCTAGCACTGTTAGGTTTTAAAATGTGATTTCCTATTTGATCTTTCACTGATCAGTGGAGCTCTTTTGCAACACTTAGGAAAATCTCAACAGTCAAACTGATGTCTGAAAGGATCTTAAATGTGCTTATTTTGCAAAGCACTTGTGTACAGTGAAATAGGGAGGGATTTCTACATTCTTCTAAATGCTAGGCAGAATCAGCATTCATGTCATAACCTCTGAAAGAATGAATAAGGAAATGTGGTCTGGAAAGGAAGAGGTTCAGCTCCCAAGTCACCATTATATTAGTCTTCTAATAACCTTGCAAGTCTCTTACAGCAGAGAATAAAATGATCAGAACTGATGTTTCAAATGCAAACAAGCAAGCAGAAATGTATTTACTTAATCTGTCAGGGAATCTTTTAAGGTCAACTAATCAATAAATCCAACCAGCAGCAAAGGGCAAAACCAAATTTGATCATCACTTCATGGTTCACCACAAGGTAACAAGCTAATTTTAAGGCAGAGTGTGGTAGCATGAATTTCAAATGCTGTTGCTGTATTAAAAATCACATTGGTTTAAGTACTGTTTAACTGGTGACAGGAAAACTGACATCCTCAAAACATCTTAAAACGAATTTGTATCAATTAGGCCAAGCCCCTGATGTAAGCTAAATGTCTACCTGATATTAAATCACAGGTGATCCAAAGCCACTGACACAGAACTGATTTGGGATAATTTGGAGTGCAAGACAACTGAGGAGTCCAACTTACAAAATGCTTTGAAGACATGACATAGTCTTTTTAACATTTTCAATATACTACATGATATACATTATCTTTTTGAAAACATATTTAACAAAAAAAGACTCGTTGGGTTTGCTGACCCAGGCTGCAGAAGTATCACAAACATTTATTCTGATGGTGTGGGTCTTGTGGCTGACACACCATAATATTTAGCAGACCAGAAATAGAGGAACATTTCTGTAGGAGTGCCTGGGCTCTTAATAAACTGTCCTTGTCATATCATCAGGCCTGAAACTGAAACACTAAATTTTTCTTAGGAGAAATGCATGTTAGAACTCTAACCAAACTGAGAAAGATTATTATGTTACACTCCCAAGTAAAAGGGACTCAAGCATCCTTTACAGCTAGATGCAAATATTGAACTTGCCTCTGGCACGAGCAGAAACCAGGGACAAACTTGGTCTGTCTTAACCACTCCAGTGGATTCATCCAGTAGGACCACTCAAGGCACAGCAGTTCCACCCTGTGCAGTGGAAATGGTGCTGCTGTTGGCTGTGCTGGTTTTGGAGGAACTGAGCTATCAGAATTAATCCATTTATCATTCTCTTGGCCATTTATGTCTATCCATATTTGTCTTCATTTTTGTAATGTGCACTGATCATGGGAAGTTGTATGTGCACAGCTGTTCTGAAGGGTGAAACTCACTCAAGTGAATGTAGATGGGGTTGCCTGTTCAGCAGTCCTTCCTTTGTTCCAGTCCTTCCTCTGCCGTAGCTGAGCATCCAGGTTTCGCAGGTGCTTCAGAAAACCACGGTTGGGTGAAATCCATCGATGCTCCTTCACTGTCTTGATGGCTTCAAGTAACGGGAGGTGGTGATTTATCATGAGATATGCTAGGACTAGAGAAGCTGATCTGCTTACTCCAACTGCACAGTGTACCAATATTTTGGCTAGTAAAAAAAAAAAAATGCAACCATCAAGAGAAGCAATACAGTGGATGAAGTTTAATTTAAATGTTTTCCTCTTCTGATAAATCATGTGAACTGCTAATTAGTTAAGTCTAATTTGCCATTGTTACAGTCACTTGTATGAGAAATGCCATGAGACCCAAACTGATTCCAGAAATACTGGTAAATCAAAGAAACCCCTCTCAGAGTAATGAAGCTGTTGTGTTTGGACCATGAGGAAAAGAAGACCCATTAGTTTCAGCAGGCTGGCTTATGCAAGGAAGAATACTAAAATCTGCTTCTTGGAGGCCCAGCCTTGCAGGCTCTGTTCACATCAGAGACTCATCTGCAACCTAGGAACCTCTTTATACAGGTGATTGCAGAAATCAGGACATTAGTCTTTTTATTCATTTGTTCTTGCAATAAGACGGTCTCAAAGGAGGGTGTCCATTCCAAAACAGAAGCATGTTTTTGCTTCTCCCCTTTGGAATGAGCTTTACCTTTCAAATAATTTTCTGTCTCCTCCCCAGGCTCTCTCCTGCACAGTTCATCTGTTTTGTCACATCAGCTCTTTGGGATCTAGTCAGAGCTATACCCACATACACAGCACTGCCTTCTCCTGCCACCCACCGCACAGGTGACCAGCACCTGGCAGGACACTATGCAGTGACTTGTCCACCACTGAGCTTTGTGGAGCTGACCTGTTACATGAGGCTGCTGACATGCATCAAAATGTGACCAACAATCATTCCATACCTCCTGGTGTGTTCAAGGCATTGTGGATAAATTGTGCAGCAGAGAAAAAGAACTGGCTGATATCAAAGCTTGGCAGGTCATGGGCGGGTACACCATAATAATCAATGGTTGCTCCATAAAAGTCCTGGCCTCCGTGGCTGTATGATGTGCCATGGGCAGCATTTAAAACATGGGTCACACCCATCTTCCACAAAACAAATCTATTGTTTGCTGTTACTCTAAGGAAAAGACAAAGACAAATCAAGATGGGTGCAGTGATATTCACAGAGCAGAAGCACTGAGATTGCATCTCCCAAACCACTGCTGGAGGACCAGCCTATGCATCGATTCTAAGGGCTAATGGAGAAGGGAATACCAGCTTAGTCATAATTTTATCTCGGAAATCGTGCTGTCTGCTGCGTAAACGACAGCAATTAACAAAACTATGAGCTGTCTAAAGCCGCACCCATGAGGCACACTAACAGAAGGTATGGCAGAGGTGTGTCCATAAAGCTGTACTTACAGGTCCCCTAAGAAGAGATTAGGCCATACTTCATCAACGTGATTGCAAGAGGGCCGCCCAGTGTTCAGGAGCTGCTCTATTTCCTTGAGGGAGGGGACATCCTCCGGGCATGTCCCAGCACCTTCAGGGTCCTGGGTGCCCGGCGCCCCTGCGCCAGCCATGCTGAGATCCGGGGCGAGACGCCGCTCCCTCCCGCCCGCCGGAGCAAGGCACAGGGCGGCACAGGGGCGCTGCCAGCCCCGCTCGGTGCCAGGGGGGCTGCGAGACGGGCTGGGGCAGGTGCGGGCAGCCAGGCATGCCTGTCCCAGGGCTGGCCGCTCGCCTCTGCCCTGCTGAGCCGCTGCAAACACATGCAGGTACCAAACCGAGCATTGCTGGGTCCAGCCTGCCTCTCTGGGCTCGTCTCCAGAGCCGCACTGTTCTGCCACGCAGCAGCCTTGTCCTTGTGGCACAGCCCCTGCCCCCAGGACACGCACTAACCCTGTGTGACTGTCCCCAGCCGTGTCTCCACACAGCCACTGAAATCTGGGCATTCATCACTAGCAATTAAAACTTGATACAGGAAACATAGCAACCTGTCCCAGTAACAATTGTCCGTCATTTAATCAGAGGTGAAAGGGTCAGAAATACACCAGCAGGTATTTCACCAGGAGGTTAAATACTAAGTGGATGATGATGATGCCTTGCCTGTCACTGATAATCCAGGAAAACTTATTTCTTGAAGCTACTGTTTTTTTCCCAAAGTGAAATTATCTGACATAACTGTACTTTATATTTTTAATATTTTCTGTTGCAGTCCTTCACTGGGTTTATACAGTACACCTGCCACACATTCCATGATACCTCCCTCTTCTGTTGAAAAGAGAACAAAAGCCAGGAGTGTAATGGTTGTCAAGTGAAACTTGTCAGTCACTGAGTTGGTTTATATAGGAAAGTCTGGCCAGCCATAAATTGGAGACTCAGTATATCAAACTGTAGTATTAGTGGGTCTTTTCAAGTACAGCAGTGCCTGTGCTTCCGCAGAATGACTCATAGCAGGGGCTGCAAAATTGTCAGTGGAGCTACAAGGCAGAAAAAAAGAAATGGTGATGCTTTTCCTCTGTAAGCCTGGCAATCCAGGAGAGAAGGCGACCCAAGAGGAGAAGCTTGTTGCTAAGAGTTTCCCCTGTAGAAAAAAAGTTCATGAATAGAGGAATTCTTGGTCAGGTCTGAGCCACCTTCATTCCATATGCATTGATATACTATTATGGATTTGCTTTATTTTATCAAGAGATGTGTGAAAGTTCACATGACTGACCTAAGTATGCTTCAACTGAAGTACAGAGATTGTGAAGAAATTATAAGGCAGGACTTGATCTGTAGAAAAATGAGATTACCAAAAACCCCACCCCAAACCCAGAAAAAGGAAAAAACATTATTTAAATCAACTAGCACTTCTAGTGAAAGATACCCCCCTTGCCATGTTGTATTCTTTGCTGAATAAGAATTTTCATAAGCAATTAATTCTCTGTTCAGCAGACGCCCTTTTTTTTCTGTGTAGGTCCTTAACATTTGAGATAGATTATTTCAAATTATTAAATGCTAACAATATTACTTAATGACAATGTTTAAGGAAAAGAAAAAAAGCCCATTACATTAACACATCTAATTTTCCTTTGCTCTATAATATATTGTAACCTAAGGTAGTTGGGAATTTTCGATATAAATTTCCTTTCTTTTATTGCATTGTCAGTCTGAATATTAAATCAATATAACTATTTGAATTGAATAAATTGTCTTCAATCTAAAGATACATCAGTGTTATTACACATTTAACATTCTTTTTTTCCTTGGAAATCCACAGTTGTTTTAAAAATATCTGTAGCATATAATTTGTCACAAATTCTCAAGCTGATTTGTCAGCCCTGGCAATGCCTGTCAAACTTACATCAATGCCTTCAATGTCACATGGCATGAAGTGGCATAAGTCAAAGTGACAGAATGAGGTTTATTGGAAATTTCTGTTAAATAAAGCACCAACTATTTAGATAATTCACCCTTTGAAAGAGCATCAAATGTTAGCAAGGAGAAGTAGTTTTCAGTTTTGAAGTGCAAAAACTAAGCAGCTATTACATATCTAAGTCTTACAAGTTTTAAATTATGTTCTTTACTTTTCTTTGCAATCTTATTTAGTAATTTTCAAAATATTTCCTAGATGATGAAATTAGAGCAGAAAAATGCCATTAGCAGTGATAACTTGAGATAGAAACTGATCATCAAGCCTTTTCCAGTGCTGAGGTTCACAGAAGCAGAGATTAATTAGAGTTGGAAGGGATGCGTGGAGATAATCCAATCCAATCTCTCTGCCAAGGCAGGGTCACCTAGAGCAGGTAGCACTGGAACCATTCGGGTGTGTTTGGAATGTGTCCAGAGGAGACCCCATGCTCTTGCTGGGCAGCCTGTTCCAGTGCTCTTCCAACCTCCACATAAAGAAGCTCTTCCTCACATTGAAGTGTAACTTCTTGTGCCTTTGCTTAAGGCCATTGTTCTTCGTCCTGTCACTGGGCAAATTGCTTCTGCAAACCAGCCCAGCAGCCTCCACAGCCAGGCCTGGACTGCTCTCCACTCTATGTGTCTGCCTGCCTGCCTGCTTCACCTTTGCTCTGGATGCAGCTCTTGGCCAGGGGGTCCCTGCATGGAAACCTGTTGCTGGAATAACACACCTTAGGACCTGTAAACTTCAGATAGTCCTGGAGTAATATGTATGTCTAAATCCATCTCATTTTCTAACCCAGACTTCTAAAGTCTGGAGACTGAATTTGGAATGTAACATTTAGGTGGACTGCTGGTTTTGCCACCGCACAGGGAAGCAGGGTTAGGAAACTTCTGCTTCTGTTTTGGTTTCCTTCCTGGAATCTGGTGAGCTGGTAGACCCTAGTGCATGTTTATATGTAAAATATAACAACAAAACCATAGCACTGTGAACAAAGCAGCAGTTTCCTGGTACCTCTCCTGAAAAGAATGAGATCCCAAATGGTGACCTAGCTTCAGGGCACGTGCTTAAGGCTGTCACAGTGACTATTCTATGATAAGACATCTCCATAGCCTGCTACAGTTGTTTTTGCAGCAATTTTTAATTTTCGTTTCTGCTTATTTTTACATTTTTGGTTTAAACCAGTTGTTCAGATGGAAGCAAATGCAGCCACGTATTGTAGGTTGTACCAACTTGGCACTTGGAAGTGTGCAAAAAGTTGTGATTGACTGGCAGTTGGTGGAGATGAATTCATGTAAAAAACTGTAGAGAATGCACATAAATAGAGAAGCACAAAATCTCATTTAACTTACTTGCCTTGCCCTCCTGTAATTTTGTTTTCCTTGTCAGATACATGCTAGGGGTTTTTGAATATAAATATGTGTAAGTAAGAAAAATTACTGGAGTAAGCAAAATTACTTCAATTTTCAACCAGCTTTATTGATTGATCCATTATAAACAGGAAGACAAGGTCCATTTGATTTTTTTCAGATTTACATGTTTGTGTTTGTCACTGGTGGATTCAGATTCGTCAGTTTTTCATTTAGTGCCTTAACGGCAAAGAAGGAAAACATTGCGAGGACTGAAATTGCGCTCGATTCCTACATCGTTTGCGGATGCTGCTAAACTGGCAAAAACGGAGGAACACACCCTCCAACTTCAGCAACTCATTTTGGGAAACTACAGATCATTTAGTGTAAAAAACAAAAGCGGGACAGAACAGACTGCATAGAGATAAGCATCTTTGAACCAAGGCTTGTGGAAAGGAGCAGATGTTCTCACGCCTTCTGAAATGTTCTTCACAGTTTCTCTTCTGAATATCAGGTAGATAGACAGTCCATTACAATTGAGATAGCACAAGAGTGCATATTTGCATAGGATTGCTTGATGACTCGACAACTTGACTTAGCTTTGAAGAATTTTGAAATGCAAATTTTCTTTTTTCACTATTAGCAGCATATAAACTTTGCAATACATTTTTTTCTTTTTTTTTTAGAACAAGGATCCGACGGCCACTTTCTCTGAAAAGGCAAAAAGGCAGTGAGTGTCATTAACTTCATGGATACACTGGCACCTCCTTTTTATTTCAACTGAAGCTACAACTTAAGATTTTTTTGGACCTCATAGTAATTACATCATCAACAAAACAAATTCTGACTGTTACTCAAACAGTTGCAAAGGGCTGGCATCTACCCCAGACAGTGGGTATCCAAAATAAATTTATTTCTGGAGCAATTTGCTTCTCGTTTGTCTGTCTCCTTCTATCCCCTCCACCTGTGCTGTTTGTAGGCTATGGAGTTCCCAAAGTTACGGCGCCATGCTGAAGCTTTCCTAAATCATGTGTGCTGTTCACATCTGTGCTGTGGATCCCCGCGCAATGACTGAGCGCGGCCGGCCAAGTGCTGACAGACAGTTTTATTCTTTTTATACACACATCAGGAAAGAACAATGGTGCAACTGAAATGTTTTGTAACTACTGCCTGCTATGAGGCCTGACAGTACGAGGGCCCTATAAGTTTCCTTTGCTATTCTGTCCTGGTGTACACTTTGAGTTGAAGGATGGCAATATTTGCCGAGCCACCGATTCCAAACCTCTAGCACGGCTCGAAGCCCCTCCTGGCAGGGGCCCCGTCCTTCCGTCCCGTCCCGCCCCTTCCGCCGCCGCCTGCCGGCGCTGCCGCCGCCGCTTCCGGACGGGGGATGGGGGGTGGCGGTGGCCGCCGCCGCTGCCGAGGAGAGGCACGGGCAGAGGCACCGGCAGGGCGCGGAGGAGCCGCTGCCGCAGCGCCCAGGGCCGGCGCGGCGGCCCCGCCGCTCGGCGGCAGGTGAGGCGGGGCGAGCCGCGGGGCCCTTCCCGGGAGGCCCGGACCGGGGACCCTTCCATCCTTCCTTCCCGCGGGGCCGCCCCGCAGGCGGCAGCCCACCGGGTCCCTATCGCTGCCCCCGCTGCGGCGTCAACCCCGGAGTGCGGGCGGGCCCCGTGGGTCTCGGGCGAAAGGGCTGCCCCGCCGCAGAGGCTGTGCGGGAGGAGAGCAGCTTCGCCTGCCGGGGGGCGGACGAGCCTCCCGTGCTGTGTGTCCGCGCTAAAATCCGCTCCGCCGTGGTTGGCGCGCCCGCCCGGCCCGGCACATCGCTGGCGAGCGTGAGCGCCCGGCCCGGAGCACCAGCTGCGTGCTGGGGCCGTGTCGCCGGCGGGCTTCGCGCTGAAGGGGTCAGCCCTTGAGCCCGGCTGTGCCGCTCTCGGGGAACTTTGCCGGCCTCGTTAGGGGAGGCGTGTGAAGGTGTGGGACGGCACCGAGCGGCGCCGGGGCAGAGGGGCCCTGTGCGGTTTGTTGTGGGGCCTGGGGGCAGAGGGGACCCGTGCAGTTTGTGATCCCGCGTCAGCCTCCGCAGCGAACAGATCGTTCCTGGAAAAGATGCTTTGTGTCAGTCTTACAGTCAGATAACGAAACGGTTGTAGCGGTCAAAATAGATATTCTTGTTACTTTTTAAAATAAAATTGGTGTGTTTTCTGAGGACAAAATGTTCAGTTTTGAATAAAGATGCTGTTGAGTGTGTAGGATTTGATTATTAAGAAGGCAGCATGGAACAGTGCTGTTGCTGGTTTGCATGTGTCCTCTTCGAGTGTCAGGGTTAAATGGTGGGGTCTGCCTGTGGGGAGAGTGTTTGTGCAAGTTCAGGGCCTGAGCATAAAGAAGTTGAAACTACTGGAACTGTTACCCACTCAGTCTCTTAAATCTATATTACTGATGCATTATGTGGACTTAGACACTTAGTTATGCTGATTGCTAAAAAACCCCAGCACTTCAAAAAGGTAGCTTTTTCCAGCTGCCTAAGTTAATGGAAGAGGCAAATGAGAAGTAGTGTTAATGTTAACGTTTGGAATAAGTTGAAGTGGTCTCATGGTTTTGTATTTGAGGCTTCACTTTGCAAAATTAATTTTATAAACATTTTTTATGTGCAGTGCTCATTCTGTGTTGTAATGGCAAGATTCAACTTGATAATGTCTACTGTGTCTCCACAGAGCTCCCTTGTGCAGCTGGACACGGTGTCTGTGCCTCCTCCACAGAGCAGCTGATCATGCTGTGCTCTGGAGTGGCAAGAGCACAGAAGACATTTCCTGGCATTTAAGTGCCCCTCCTGTTTGGTAGGGGGTGCTTCTTGCTGAATATCAGAGGTAAGGAAATGGCTGTGTCTTTTTCTTCCTTTTGCTTTCTGTGATGTAGAAGAAAGGTGGAACTAACCTGTAGGATTAGTTTGAAGTGATTTTTATACCAGGTGAAAGGAATTTTGTAGTTTTGTAAGGTTTTGTTGTGTAAGTAGTGCTTAGATGTGAAGAAAATGTCCTGCACATTTGTAAAGCACAAGAATTTTAAATTATCTTGTTTGCTCTTCTATGTGGTGTTGTTTTTGCTGGCTGGTTGGGGGTTTATTTTAGTAGGATACTATAAAAATACAGGTTGGCCTAGGAACTGTAATCTTTTGAGTTCTGTAGTATCGCTTTTTTTTTGTACAGAGCATGCTTTTGCAGCCCACTTAGCTGGTTGAGGTCCACTAACCATATTACACTGTGTATGTTTGTTTGATAATCACATGCCTTTTAGAAGTATTTTTATTTCTTCCCTACTTTAATGCATCTAAAATGAGGAAAGCTATTAGATTTTCCCTAGACCAGAAAGATCAGATTGTAAATAGTTGTGGAGAGTAAGATGAAACACAGTTTCACTTCAGATACTGTTCTGGTATTCATTTGGATGGAGAGTTTGTTCATGTCTTCTCCTATCTCCATTGTAAGATGAGGGTGTGGGAAGAAAAGGGGAGAAAGAAACTTGAGTTGTTACTCCTAAGTTGTATGGGGATAAAGAGCAGCCAACGTTCTGTCACAGAAGGGATACACTGCTTGAAACCAGAAGAAAAATATTTGACACTTGATATTTAGCATGTAAAATGTTCAAGAACTTAGTCAAATAGTAGTGAAGTACTGTGAATGGCATAAGATAAGTGGTGGAGTACTTGATCAGTTGTTTAAAAATCACTTGTGTGTGCCTTGAATTATGGCAGTAGTATAAAAATGTGTTTTGTTAGCTGGTTAGTAGATTAGGAGCTGAGCTGCTCTTAGTGTTCATTTGAGTATAACACAACCTGTTTGGCTTAATGAGGTGTGAGAGTCAGGGAGCAGTTTGTATTCTGTTCATTTTGATGCAATATGTAACTGTACTTGGTGCTTCTTAAGACAAACATGTTTAACTTTCAGGACTTTCTGTAGTAGCTGCTGTCACTCTTGCGTGGAGGTGTCTCAACAGAAAGACTCTGCTAAGAATATACAGCGAATATTTGATCCACAAGCTGCACTTCAATAAATAACTCTCAAAAAGCTCATCTTCCTTGATGGCTTAAAACCTAAGACTAAGCTAGTGTTACTTTGAGATTTCTTATCTTACCTTCATACATAGCACTAAGACCTCTGAGTACAGTTAAGCTACTGCTGATCATCTCACTTATGATACCTAAGTCACTATTTAAAACTCAATGCAAGTTTTACAGCAATATTTATGCATTTGAAATGATTGTATTCTTGCTTCAGGAAAATACCATATGTTGTCTCATGGTGGGCATTGTGCTGTGTTTGAGCAATTTTATATGTAGTATGGTAGCCATTGTATTTAAAAACTTGAAAAATCATGTATTGTTTTTGCATATGTTCTTTCCGTCCTTCTGCTTACAAGACACCTCCTGTATTATATGTATCTGGTGGCATTTAGGAAGTAAGGACTCAGCCACTGTATGCTATATGGCAGTGAAATCTTTGGTGCTATTTGCTTTAAATAAGCACTGAAGAATTTAGAGTTTCCAGGAAGAGCAGGTGACAAGCTTCTCATGTAAGTCAGTCAGCAGAGTAGCTGAGCCTTGTGCTGCATAACAAGGCAGTGCTGTGTGTTCTTTTTCCAGCACAGCATTGCTAAGTTGGTGTGTGACAGTAGCCTTATTATTGCAGGCTGGCTCAGCACATGTTTTTGTGTAGCTTTTTTGTGCTGGGGAACCAAGGCCACCAACATGGGTGAAGTGCAGCCTGTGCAGGGAACAGCCTCTCCCCTGAGGTGTGGGATGTGCTCCTAAGCCAGCAGACCCAGCAAAGGGGGGCCGAGTTGGGATGGCCTGTTTTCAAACTGCAGCTTGAAACCTTCACACAGAAATGTAGGTTAAATCACTTGAGATCTGGTAGTTGTTCAGGATCCTTCCTAAAATTGCTCTCCAGGATGGTGGGAAATGAATCTAGGGGGTAAAAAATCAAGGGGCAAGGCTCTCCCATGTACCTGAGTGCAGGTGGTAAAGCAGTCATGGTGCCAGTAGAGATTTTGCATATGTGTCTAGAATAAACAAAACCAGTCAGCACTCTGCTAACTGCTGCAGACCTAACTAGGTTGTTTAACCCTTCAGCTCTGACTGCTCTAATCAAGTTTGCAGCCTAATGTTACTGTGATATTAATGCTGCTTTTCCTTGGCTAGGGTAATGATAAGCAGATTCAACTTCCCACGTTTTTACCTCAATATACAGTCTCAAAGTCTGTAAGCTAAGAAAGTTAGGGAATTAATGGTTGACTGGCAGCAGTTCAGTAGATGGGAACATGATAGAATCATGGACAATCATGTTGAGGGAGGTTAATTTTCTCTAGATATACATCTAGGAAATTTTGCTGTCAGCTAGGGTATAGTCAGCCTCTCAGAGGCATCTTATTTCTTAAGATGCCACTGCCAAATTGTAGGAATGTTTATGGCTTACAAAGTAATGTTTTTCTTTTAAAAAAGTGAATGTTTATGCATATACAGTTCATATGCATTGTGCTCATGCTGGTAATTGAAAGGCTTGTGCAAGAAAATGGGACACGCATACTGTTGACAGACTTGCTAAGTGTTAAGTCACAGTACCAGGAAAATAATCCACTAACTAGCTACAGACATTGCTGATGTCAGGGGAAAAGTATATTTTACCCTGTGACGCTTAGGTCTGTGCTTGCTTTGTGTTACTCATGTGTGTTATTCATCATTAAGTAATGTTACCCATTATTTGGTTCAGTGATAAAACTAGTAATATGGAAGGCAAAGTAGTTTCCAGAGCTGTTTCCTTTCAGAAGAGAGCTGCAGTTATCTAGGGGACTTGGCCTCTGCTGCGTTATTCTTACATAGCAGTCTAGTAGTGTAAAAGTTATGCAGCATTCTTCAGC